GGCAAAAAAGCTAAAAATGTTTATACAGAAAAGGACAAAATAACATTGCAAAGGGGAGGCATGGAGTCTTGTATCCACATGTGAGTGCACATGTATGCCCAGCCTACAGTGGCACACCTGTCAGAGTAAGTCTAGTAAGGCAATGCCTGTATTTTGGGTCACTTGATGGTAGTGAAGCATCTGGATCCAATGGGTTAAGGGCCTTGAATCTTTGGAGAATAATTGTATTCTGACTAATCTGTACTTTAGCACATACATCAATGTATAAGCATGGATATGCATATCTAAATATATATGTTGGTTAGCGAGTAGGTGGGCGAGTGAACAGGTGGATGGGGGGATGGGTGAGTTAGTGAGTGGGTGGGTGGTTGAGTTGGTTAGTGAGAGAGAGAGAGAGAATGTATATATGGGTTCATGTTCCACTTGTGTTCATTGATGACATAATGTTGAATATGATGAAATAATGAAACATGTGGTTTAGTTTTTAGAAATATGAATTGAATAGAGATCTTGTTTATTGTTAAAATTAATGTTCATAAAATAGAAGAGTAATTTGAGTAATATCATCTTTCCATTGCAGGTGAAGCAGATTGCTCCAGAATATTATGATTCTTTGCCACAGCATGAATCTTGGGTGAAGGTTATTTATGACTTCATAACTGATCCGAACATTGGTCCTTATGCCCGAATTAAAAGGAAGCATGCTGGCTTGGATAAGGAAGAATAGGCTTCAACAAGAAATGTTTTTTTCCTTTGTATTTGTTCTTATTAAATGTGATGTCTATACTGAACCTTTTTTCAAGTTCTGTATTCCAGTGGCAGTGAAGTAAGTAAACATTGCCTTTTGAAAAAATATAACTTTGTGTGGAAAACTGTTGTAAAAAAATTCAAGGACATGAAATGTATTTGATTTTTTTTCATATATATATACATATAAAAAAAATGGACATGCTGCATATCTGTAGCAATTGGTTGGTACTGTAGTACAAAATATTGCATTATGAAAACCTAGGAACAAAGATGCTACTAAACTTCTATGGGTTTGTACAGGTTTACAAACCTTATCCATTGCCAGTGCCAGATATATGCATATTTTTTACAGTAGTACTACAAAGGAGAGAGAATAGTTTAAAGGATTTGTTTTAGTTTATGATATGTAGATGAGTTATCTTATGATGTCAATTCCTAATTTTTATTTGGTCAGAGTACTGACCCATGTAAATCCCAGTGCTTTTTGTAAAAGGTTTCCTGGGAGGATTTGGGCTTTCTAGGTTGATGCAGATCAATAGATAGTGTTAATAATGAAAGATGATTATTTCTAACATGAACAGATGTGAATATTGAACTTATAGTTCTGACATCAAGATAATATTATTTCAGATTATTTCACTAGAACTAGATGATGACAGAGGCTTATACAGTAAAGGTATAAAATTAATGATCTTAAATATATATGGAACAAAAATGAATATGTGAAGATATTTACAGGAAAATATACTTATGAAGAATGTGCTTGTGTAGTTCATTAATTCTTATCAGTGTATGAATAACTTTCAAGTAAATTTTATGATGGATGGTCCATCTGGCATTTGTGATTCATCAGAAATGATGAAACCACGACAGACAGTGAATCTCTCATTTTGTTGAAAAGTGTGAGTGCTCCTTTTTAAGATATTGCGGTTACTCGTTATCAAGCTACAGAAAGGGAAACTGATTTGGGGAGAGTGATCTCTAAGTATGGTTGATTATTATGTACTTTCAAGTTCAAGAGTATGAAAGGGGCTACCTTGTTAAACATGTAGGTTACATTGGAAATATTAGAACATTGCTGTTGAAATAAAATAACTTGGTTCTTACACTCCGACCATATATTGATATTAAATTGGTACAGTATGTACCTATCTATAGCTTTAAGATATTCCTCTTGCCTAATAACATTTTCATGCTTTCACACTTCATTCACTGTGATAAGTAGACTAAGACTGGTGTCACATCAGTCCTCTCTTATGGAAAGAATATATATTTGGCATTGAATACTCAAAGTATTGATTTTTTGTTGCAGATCTCAAATTTTGTTTTTGAAGTGGGATACAAACTTCAGGCATTTTTGAAGTTCAAAAAATTGAGAGAGATCCTTATGGCTAGATCTGTATTGCTCTTTCAACATAAGAGGTTTTAGTGATGGGTCTTCCATGGCTTAAGCCATGTGTTTATAGCACCATGCTCGAATAATTTTGTGGTAGATATTATCCAGAAAATAGAAATAAATAATAATAATAACTAGCCTTCATTAAAATAGCACTTGTCAAAATATGTCTTGCAGATATAGTTTTTATATTCAGAGAAAGGTGCTAAAGATAAAGTCATCTAATTAGCAGAAAAGAAGTTTGGCCAGTGTAACATTTCGTGTGAATGTCTTACCTAGATTTTTTTTCTGTTGTACTGTTTTCTTGCATTTTCTTTTTTGACCTTGCATTTTACACTTGCAATTTGTGTTAATGTATGGGTTTTCTTTGTTAAAGAAAGACTACTAAGTAAGCTAATAACTTTTGCATTAAAAATGTATGCAGAATTCTCAACTCTGAATCCTCAAAATTATTTAAAGTATTTATGTACAGCTCTTTAACAAATCTTTATATCTATATGTAACAGGTTACAAACTCATTTTTAAAAGTTACTGCACAAAATAAATAGATGGTGCAAGCATCTAGAAACATGAAATGGTCTAAAAGAATCTTTAAGTATATACTAGGTTTCTTATAGTAGGGATTTGCTATTGTAAACCTCTTTTCTTTTGTCTTGTTACTGAATTGAAGCAATAAACAGGGCTTCTGGAAACTGTGAGAATATCCAAATATAATTTATTCATTAAGAATTGTGTTATATTTAACCTTTTGTGGGTGGGGGTTATACACACAAGTAATAAGTATTGATGTAATAAAAGTACCTGGATATACTCAGAAAGCTTTTGGAAATAATACAGGTTAATAAATACCAAACAACTGTAGCTCATATACTGTACCAAATCTATGTACAGAAATTTATTGGATAAATGTACAAGAAAGAACAAAGAATACATCTTTGAACAAATGAAACAGAGGGTGGAATAACAGATAAAATCTATCAATCATCAACCTTAACTTATGGATCATTTTTCTATTTAACAATTTTGTGTTGTGTCATGTGTTTTTGTTTGTTTATATATTATCCTAATATGGTAAAAAGAAAAAGAAAAAAAGAAAAAAAAAATCAAACCATATACATATTTAAAATTTCATCACTTACTACTTAATATACCCACACTGCAAAAATTGGACAGGAAAATTCATACAACTAAAATATCCTGTTGTTGACTCTACTAATATTTGGCACAACATAATCATACTTACAAAAGGATACTTGAATGATAATTATAGTTCATAAAAATATGAATACCCCAAAGTATATATTACAGTTGTAATACTGTATTTATATATATAATATATAATATATATACATTATATATATGATTACATAAATACACATTATAAGTAAAATCTTTGTGGTATGCTTTTGTCAGAAAGTTAATAATAATAATAACACTGTGTGTATGATCACCTTCATAGTCATTAATCCCATTATATATATATATATATATATATATATATATATATATATATATATATATATATATATATATATATATATATATATATATATATTACATACATACAAACATATATATATATATATATATATATATATATCTATATATATATATATATATTACATATCATACAAACATATATATATATATATACTATATATATATATATATGATATAATGACATATATATATATATCTATATATATATATATATATATATTACATACATACAAACATAACAACAATTACAAACATACAAACATACCATACAAACATACATACAAACATACATACATACATACATACATACATTTATATATATATATATATATATATATATATATATATATATATATATATATATATATATATATATATATATATATATATATATATATATATATATATATATTACATATAAAACATATATATACATATATATACAATATTACATATATTTACATATATACATCTATGCATATAATGCATACATGTATATATGGTTATATGTATATATTGGTATATATAGGTATATATATATGTATATATATATATATATATGTATATATGTATATATATAAATTTATATATATTACATATAAATAAGTGTCACACACACATGCAAGCACGCACACACATGTACACACACACACACACGCACACGCACACACACTATATAATATATATATATATATATATATATATATATATATATATATATATATATATATATATATATATATATATATATAAGTAGAAGCATTTTTTCCAAGCATACAATAAACAATTTTCAAAATTTGAACATGCTTACATTTCCTCATTGCAATATATTAAATGGAAATTCCCCCCCCCAAAAGGATTTTGTACCTTGTATTTCTAAATATTTGATATTACTGTTAATGAATATTACAAGAGGAATAGAATACATGCTTTCATGCAATATATGGACAGCATGATTTCATAGCTGCAAGGCATGCAATTTTCATTCTCTTGTTTTTTGAAGCACACCTTTACAAATCCTGGCATCAAAAGAAATTAGGTCTTTGGAATGTTATTTAACTGATAGTTAACTATCTTAAACTACTGCACATAGTTCTTATGTTCATGTGACTGGATTCTCGAACGGGCTTACAGTTAAAGTAAACAGACTGCAGCACATAACATTTCATTAATTACAGACTTTGATTCAACTTCTGTGGTTGTACAGGTCTCTGGAAAATGAAGCCATCAGTACATTAACACAACACACTGATCCATACTTTTTGCTATTAGGAAAATGGAAACTGTCAGAGAATCTCATACCAATGAGACTCACATATACTGTATACAGCTAGGTTCATACATATAATGGATATATTCTTTATGACATCTACAAAACAATAAAGAGGTCTCAAGTGTATTTATGTGTTAGCACCTAAAGTTAGGATTCAAAGTTCTGAACACTAGTGGGGATTGGGGAAATGAGTAAATGAGAGTTAAATAAACAAGTAAAATAAATAAAAAGGACAACCTATACCTTATTGCAATTGTGTATTTAAAGCACTTCTTGAGAAATGATAACTGACATGTTAGCACAAATATAAATGGAATGTGACACTGGTCTTTTCTACTTGTAAATCTTAAATATGTTTCCAAATTCCCATATCAAAATAACCATACGAGGCTTATATGATCAGCATCACTGAGAAAAATATCAAGATTATTGAGTTATGAAGTTACATTAATAGGTGCAAGATTTAAGCTGAGGTCATTAAAATTTGCATTGTGAATACATATTTGAAGACAGTTGAATCAAATTAATCTATACTCAATGATGTAATCATTCCATGAACATCATGATAAACAAAAACAGTATATCCTTTTACAATACAGTCATTCACATTTTACATGACCAAATAAAACAGCATCACCCAATGATAGTCTAATACAATTAATGCTTCATTCAATACATTATATGATATACAGATATGTAAATATATATTTTTTGCCTTCTCACGTTGACTGAAAGTATTACTGTACTTCTGTGTATTATATGTATACATTCTATACACTACACACACACTAAATGTTGCCTCACATCAAACAAATCTCAAACACTATCTCTGGAATGTGCACTGCACTTCTAAAACTGATTTCACATACCCTGGTGTACTGAGAAGCTAATGTTATGAATCATTCTGCATATCAGATAGGATATAATGTATATCCTAGAGTAACATACAGTTCAAACAAGTCTGAGTAAAATAACAAATTGAATATATCACTTTTCATGATACAAGAAAATGAGCTAACCACATTATTAACAATACATCACTGTAATAAACCAGGAATATACAATGCTAACATATCACACAGAAGATTCCAGATGGCAGACTAAAATGGGTGTTTCCTAAAAACAATATCACACCAAATCTGTTTCAAGAATCCTGCATTCTAAATGTATACATTTTATTCATTTTCCTATAAAGAAAATAAACTTTGAAGAAAATACAATTTGCATTGTAAATATAACTTTACAGTGATCATTCTGTTGTTCTGTTTACATGCTCTCACACTGGCAAGTGAGAAGTGCTTCCCTTACGATATACAAACACATTGAACACCTGTCCACAAATAATGCTAAACCCTTTCTTTATGCACTTGAGCACTATGTTATTCTGAACAACATGATAACAATATATTTACATGAGCATGTATATAAATATGCTTTGTGTGTGTGAAACAAATTTCCATTAAATATTCATTATCTAGTACAATATAAATATCTTAAATATTTAAATGGAAATAGCACGTTTTTGAGGCAAGCTTTTAGACTGCACTGCTGCCCAAGATCTACATTCATTCCAAATACTGTTAGAGTATAACAAAGATTCCTCCTTCCAACTACTTTGGTGGGTATACAGTGATATATGAAATAAAGAATTTGCTGAAGCATCTACTGGAAAAAATCTAAGAAAAACTACATTTTTTATCTACTTGTGTAAATTTCTAAAATAAAATCATATGATGAAAATGATTCTATTAATAACCTACTCTAATTTAATAATTAGTAAGAGAAAAATGGAGAATACTGAAATGAATAACAATCATACAACAATCATGTACATCAAACTTTCAAAAAGAAAAGAAAAGAAAAGAAAAGAAAAATACATAATCAGACGTGTACTTATCTCTGTAGAAAATCTGAGATCAACAATTATGATCACTTGTCATAAACAACATGCTTTACTCTAATTTCAAAATACGATTAGCTAAAAGCTTTGTTATGAATGACAAACTTTCAAAATTCTTGACCACTTTAAAAATGTGTTTCAGGGTGCATCTAATACGACCTACTGCTCTATTACCAGCTCTGTGCTTTTAGGTCTACAAAGTCTATGTAAGGCTCTCTTTACAATTGTATTAAAGGAATCCTAATTTGCCTTTTACTGACATAGTGCCAGACATCAAATAGTTCATCTTTAGAGTAAAATCTAGTTACATATCATAAATCTGTCAATCTAAAGGTAAATGCCAGTATTTCTTATTGTGTGTCCAACACTCATGATATATATAATATGGCAACTTCATGCTATGCTAAGACTATATTGTGCATTGGCCTTAAACAACTGTTTTGGCTTATGTAAAGACTGCACATTTTATATATAACAAAGCTGCCAGTATGGGAAAATGTCCATGTATTTATGATTTGCCTGACATTTCCAAAATTAGTTTTTTGTACAATATAAATGTAATATAAATCATATAACAACATATTTCTGTAAGCAAAGGTGTACTTAAGAAAACATCATGAGTAAACAAATGTTTCTTCAGTGACAATCAATCTAGTGCCTTCCTTTTCTTTGTAACTGTGTCATCTTCTTAAAGGCTCTACTACTCTACAAATCACAGATACTCCAGCTATCTTGAATTTCAAATAATTTAGTTGAATTCACTTATAGTTGGTTTCATTAAAATGGACCTATTGTTAAAAATTTCAATAATCAACAAGTTAGTGTGAATAGCCACAGAAAACCCACGAAAACAAAAATGCCCCAGCCAGTGTAAAAAACCTTAAGAGTTCTATTCTTGAAGTCTGTAACACCAGCTTGAACACAGCAAGTAATGGCCAGTTTAGCACAGTCCTACTAGGTGGAGACATGGAGATTTTGAGGAAAGGAAGGCTGTGAGACTCCCAGACCTAGTTTGAGATATTGAGTAATAGACCTACAACCAGCTGCAGGATTAGTCAAATTTTGCTCTCACCTTGAGCAAATTTTAGAAGTGTGAAACTAAACCATTTTGTAATTAGGTCTTTTCTTTAAATTTCCAACATTTGCATCTAAATTTTCTATTTCAAAATTGATTATCCTGAAATACTTACATATCAGCAGTGTTATCCATATGTTTGAATGTCATCTTTATTTCTTAATCTCTGTGTCTCTAATATCTTGCCTTCCTAACTTCTTTTGCTTACTACATGACAAAGAAGCCATATAAATTTTGTGTGATTACAAAGAGTACAAAAATATGAAATAATTCAGAAACATCCTCAACTAAATATTCTTTCCCTGAAATATCAAGTTTACCAGACATGCCTGTAACTGAGTAAGCATAAGATGTGCACACTTAGCTCTTTGATGACTGCAATTTGATTCTATGATGTTTACTGCCTATAAATCATGTATTTCCTAAACTCTGCACGTACGCCACTGATCGTGTAATCCAGGGCTGCCTTACCACAATCTTTGCAATCTATACAGCCCCAAAATTTTTTGAATCCATAAATTTGTTGAGCAAAATATCTTTACTGGGGTAAGACTATTTTAATCAATGTTCAAGTTTAAAATACACTGCAAGTAATGTGGGAACCTCCTTATTTGAATCCTTTCCTCTAAATCCTCAGAACAATATTTCCTAATTTCTCATAGTACTATGTTTCCCTTGAGGATATACCATGAAAATTTGTTACATTTTGCATGTACACTCTTTACTTTGATATATATGTGTGTATATATATATGTGCTGTGTGTGTGTGTGTGTGTGTGTGTGTGTGTGTGTGTGTGTGTGTGTGTGTGTGTGTGTGTGTGTGTGTGTGTGTGTGTGTGTGTGTGTGTGTGTGTGTGTGTGTGTGCGCGTGCGTGTGCGTGCGTGTGTGTGTATACATGCGTATGTTTATATGTGCATGAATGTATATGGGCATGTACTGCTATGCATAGGCTGCTGTGCTTGTGTGTGGTTTCATCATAACATTGCGATCTGTTACATCCAGTTATTATTATTATTATTATCCAAAGAAAAAAAAAAAAAAATAATAAATAATTAGCATATTTTAGTAAATGATATGAACTTAGGAAAATCTATAAAAAAAAAAGAAAAAAAAAAGCAGAACAGGACACAAATCATAAAAGAGGAACATACCTCACTGCAATACTTCTTCCAAATAACGCCTTACACTAATTCTTAGAAAAGAACTTAAGGGTGGGAGAAACAGATGGATGGGGGGAGAGAGAGAGAGAGAGAGAGAGAGAGAGAGAGAGAGAGAGAGAGAGAGAGAGAGAGAGAGAGAGAGAGAGAGAGAGAGAGAGAGAGAGAGAGAGAGAGAATATACATACAGTACATGCTATTTGCTAACCATTATATTTCATGCTTACCACCATATCATGTGTTCTAATTTCACATATATTGTATCATTCTATCATCATACTCTGAACCTCCCCAAGTAATGCTATTTTTATATATCAATGATATCATAAATATCATACATTCCAACTAATAACTTATGCTACCTGAGTCAACCTTGTACCCATTTGACTTATACAGTGCAGACTCGACCGTGGCATTGCTCAAGATGTATGATCTCAACTTGCCTGAAACATGTACTGTATGTACCTTCAGCCAATGAGTAACAGGCACAGTATCCATTCCAGATCATGTATTCAAGAGAATGCATTAGCCAGATCATAAACTATTATACCCAATCTATGATAAAAACAGAGACAGCATTATAATAAAACACATTTGATGACAGAATGACACAATGCATGTGACAATAGGATATCTAACACGATGAATAATGCAAAACATGAAAATAAGTAAATAACAAGAGCTTTTAATAACTAATGTCAATAATAAAGAGCAAGAGAGAAACAGTTGAAAACAAAATACTAGACAAGTAGAGAAAAGAGAAAAACAAAAACTATAAAAAACAAAACAAAAAACAGAAGAGGAAAGACACGAGAGCTTCAGTATCCAGCAGGAAAATGAAAATAATAATGATAATAATAAATAAATACTACTTGCATTTCAAACATTTGTACAGTATAAATGATCACGTGAGCTACCCACAGTGGCACTTTTCTTCCTCTGACTGTAATAGTGAACAGCATAATAAGTATATGAGATTCTGTGTGATGCACCCAGACATAGCATGAACTAAAGGCAGAATAATCAGGCACAGAAAGGAACTGAATAATAGGAACAAAATGAATCCAATTCATTATGGTAAACATCCCCTAACACTTATCTAGATCTGTTTAATGAAGGTCATCATGTTCAAATCATTATGATCATAATAAAATGCTAATACATATTTTACTATATGTCATAAGCTGCAATAAACCATGTGAAAAAAAAAGAAAAAAAGAAAAAAGAAAAGAAAAAAAAAAAAAGAATGAAAATGCACAAACAAAAAATCTTTTACATAAAACAATGCAGCAATTGCAAAACATTTAACAAAAGTTCCCCTCTTTCAGATCAAACAACGAGAAAGATGTTGTGTGGCATGGAAAAAAGAAGAAAAAACAACATAAAAAGCAATAAATCCCTCTTTTTCAGCCATGTACATGAAAAGAGAGAGAGAGAAAGAGAGAGAGAGAGAGACCATCTGAGAATGGAATGTTAATCACAGTAAAAGGATTCAGTCTGGAGTTTGAATATACAAGAAAATTGCTTCTTTTTCTATTCCCTTTTTACATGTAAAAAAACTCATTCCCTGTGAGGGAAAATACTAATGTCAAATATTTTGACAAATGTTAAAATACATTATATTTGTCACTAAAAAGAATTTTGCCCCAATCCACTTCTTTTTATGAAAACTTTGGGAAATTAATACTATACAGGAGACTTTAATGATAAAAGCCCCCACATACATAAAACTATAACAATTTGGATGAGTAAACAATCTACCCAGCACCTGTGGCTATGAGCGTATCTTCTCCACCAGCCACTGTATCAGTGAGTAAAAAATGAGAGCAACGAGAATCGAGGCCCAAGACTGAGTGGATAAAGGACTTGCGGATTCCTGAGAAGTAGAAGCACGCAAAGCGGCCCGATGCTTGGGACTGTCCATAGCTGATAGGCGGCGGTGCAGACCATCTACATCTTGGCGTAAACCCTTCATTTCTGTTACGAGACTATCTTGTGTAACCAACATCTTATTGAGAGCTTCAAGGATGCTGTAGGAATAAAACAAACTTATAATTATAATATATTTGTGAAAATCTTGTTTCTCTTGCCTTCTCACAGAGCACTGGAAATATCATAATTCTTAAGGATTACCATGTTTTAATATAACCAAAGCAATTGCAATTCACAATACTGCAGTGGATGAGTTTAATACACACCTGGGTGATAATGAATGACTCTGTCTCTTAGCAGGCAGAGGCGCTGTGCTAGCAGGACGCTCAGGCATATCCTGGAGGTCATCATGATCACCAGAACTCGTTTCTTCAGCTGCTGCTAGTTCCAACACTCCTCTTAGTCTCTGCACTCCATCCTTGCGCACGACCTATGGAAATATTGTATTACAACAATATACGACAATCAGACGTTTCTGTACCTACATTACTATTCATAATATTATTAGTGTTGTAGTGCCTCTAATGTATCACATTTAAGTTTATTTCCTCAATATTTCAAACCTGAGAAAAACTGATGAAATACAACTCTTTACTGCCAGATGTTAAAAACTTTCAAAACTATCACTGTATCAAAGGCGACTGTATTACCCACCTCGCACTTTGGATCCACACTGACAATGGATGCTGTCCTTATCATTGGTGCTTTATGCCTTGTCTTAGTTGATATTATATAATTGAACTCATACTGGAAGAGATCTGTTCTTGGGTCCCAAGGTCGAAGATCTGAGTGTTTGTAAACATAAACTCCACTCACTGGTTCCTGTTGAAAAATTTAAACACAGTGAAAAACTGAGTATACTGTAGATGTTCCAGGAGAATTAGGAGACTTTATTGCTGGAAGACCTAAGTAAAGCTGATATATGCTAATTACCTTTAACTATATACCTTTTTCTTCATGATATTCTAATGACTTACCTGTGTAAAATACTTAGGAACCCACTCTTCACATTTTGCTTTCCTTTCTCTTGCTTCACTGCGTTGGGCTTCTTCCAAAATGGTTTTCTCTTCTGTAGCTGCAACCTGTAAAGTGAAATGACAACTGTGCACACCAAATATCTAATTCCAATAAAAATTAATAAGCAGAGAAAATTAGATAAAAAAAGAAAAAAAATCTGTGCTACAAGTCACTCCTGTGTCTGTAAATATTACCAATTCCTATCATTCATACACCAATTTGCTTGAGATTTTGTGTTCCTTATTTTGCAGTTTTCTTGCATCTGCCAATTGATGCTGTAACTGCCTATCAATCATACAAGAACTAGGTTGCATCACAGCATATCCACTTTCCTACCTGATCATCATTCTTGATGGCTAATGAAACTAACTGCCACAATTTTTCCGACTCAAATATTCCCTGCTGGTCCATGGCTACCGTGAATCGCTGGAGCCGCTGCATCTTCACCTCCGGGGTAGCATGCCATAACACCTCCTCCTCCTGTTAGTCGAAGATCCAAGAGCTTTCATGAGTGAGTGGTGAATGAATGAAGTGAACAGAATTTGCATCTTGTACAGCTAAATGCTGGATTAAACTTTCATACAAAATAAATGGAAAAGAAAAAGAAGAAGAGAGCAAAACATAAAGATATTTAAAGACATAATTATAAATAAAGGAGAAAATAGAGTTGACAAGAATTAAGATAGAAAGGAGAAGAAGAAGAAAAGAGAGAGTGACAGAGATACACAAATACAGGAAAAAAGAGAGAAAAAAAATATTCAACACCTTTAATCTTATCCTTCCTCATTTCTATAAAATAGTATCTCCTCTGGGAAATTCAGTAAAATCACCCTCAGTTGGAGAATAATTACAAGTATTTTCCCTTTTAATCTCTGTCAGTCCTTTGTATTTCTACTCCCAATGAGATGTCCCTTTTATCACTACTTTCACCTCAATGACTTTTTTCTTTATTAATCAATCACTTTACAAGGTGACTGAGACAGATGAGATATCTAGGTTTCATATTTCTTTTCTTTTAATTAATACCTCAATGCACTAAATTCTTAACTTATTCTTTAATGTTAACCATGTTATGTTCAAGTATTTTTTCAGTTCTATACAAAAAGTCAACCCTCAGGACCTATTCTGCTTTACATATTTTGTATTAAAAAGAAATAATTTTCTCTCCTAGCTTCTGATATACAACTAATAGTATTTTCACTGTTACACTTTTACATATAACCTAAAAATACGTCAACTGATCTAATATATTTCCATGTGCAACATTCTCCAGAGCAAGGGGGTTGCAAGTTATATACCCCATTTCACTAGTGTGCAAGACAACTTTTACTAAATAGCAAGAAAATTAGTTTCCATACATTTATTTTCATGTGCAAAAGTGCATGTACAAACATAATCATTACTTATTATTTGCATATTCATACAAGCACACACACACGCACACACACACACACAAGCCTACGTGCATGCTTGCATTCACACATGCATGAACACACTTATCTACTTACACTCTTTCATACACAAAACCATACACAGACAGTCCATCTCTGTCTCTGTGGTCTGTCCATCTGTGTGTTTGTTGATCTTTCTCCCTCTTTCAACAACACAATGCACAAAATAATTGCAATTGTTAACTGAGCACTGTGACAATATAAAACAAAAGTTTCAGGAAGATGCTTGATTCTCAAAACATGATATAAAAAAGCCTCTCTACTGGTGCTTGTACCATGTAATATACACTGGGTAACTAGCCATATTTTTCTTATCTAAGTTCTATCAGAAAAATTTCATTACGTTGCTCAGACTTAAATGCACTACTTTTTTTAAAAGTGAATCTACTTCATGAGTCTCAAAATAGAACTATAAAAACTATACTGCTGTGAAACCTCACTAATATTCTACACTGAAAACCTCTGGACACACTCCCATCAAAATCAGTTACCAAGCAAACAATTTTCAACTCCCAAAACATGATAACTTTGCAATAAAGGTGATGGATAAAGAACATATTGGCTGGAGGTGGATATGAACAGCATATATTTTCTATGTATATCTACTTTTAATACTATGAAGTATGGGAAACAAAAGAGGGGACACACACAGGAACATACTACAAGCTATCACACAAGGGTCACAAGAATGCTGTGTACAACAAATACTTTCAACCTATAAATATTGGCAATATCATAGTTATTTAACCTTTGTATATTCCTAGACTTGATTTGAAGATTCAGTATAAAGACAACCTAAAACAAAGACCATAATTAATGAGGTTTCACAGCATTTATATACTTGTCAACTTGCTGATCATCAATTGCTTGGTCTGTACCACTTATCCCACAGATACAGTAGAGCGTCAACTGTTCGAGCCGGATGAAGGAAGGCAAATCAGTGAAGGCTGGCAAAATTTACTCAGCGTCATGATATAAGTCATTCATGACAGACAGAATGACCAGTCATAAAATGTGTTCAAGTCATCTATTTATAGATTATAGCTAAAAGGTAAATAATAAGCTGATTGTGTAACAAATGATATCCCACCATGTACGTACTCCTTTGTGTCTGTCCTTTGTCCTGCAGCATTAAAATTTAAGGAACAGTCAACAACTTACTGTAAAAAAAACTTTAGAATCCTTTGGAATTCTAAATTAGCCATCTCCTTTTGCTTGATACTAAATAATGATGTACGTTGAAGTAAACTACTGCATTTACAACTACTTTCTGTATATGGGTGGGTGGGTAGATGTGGATGTATGGGGATACAGATATGATTATGTGCGTGTGGATATTTCTGTGTATTTATGTGGGTATGGATATTTGCGGGTGTATTTATGTGTGCAGATATGGATATGTAAGATTCTTTAAATACAGGACTAACAAGTGTTAACAAATATAATAAATAAATGCATAAATTATGAAAGCAAGAAAAAACAGTTGATGCTCTAATGTTGATTTTTTTTCTTATATTTTGCTTCTCAATCAAACCTGTTGTTCTGGGAGAGGATAATAATCCAGACATCACAAAATACATCTCATACTCTGAAATTCTACTTATATGAAAGCTATGATCTTGCACCCACATAGTAAACCATAAAGAAACTATCTAGACACATGCAGAATATCTAACAAAGGTAAGGTTTGGTTCAAATAAACACTTATATCAAGAACAGGGATTACAATTTTTACAGTGTCTAATAAAACATATAACTCTCCTTCAAAACTACTAAGTAACATCTGAACTTTGAGCAAACAGTGAGCCTGTCAGCATTATTACGTACCCCTTTACGTTTGTCTGTGAAGGAAATTTTGCCGTCCCAGTATCCTTCCAGAGTTGCTAATGTGTCCTTGCCCAACTTTATCTTGCCGCTCACCATGTTGTTTGCTTCATAACCACTAAGGAAAGGCTGGAAGTAAAATAAAGTGAAAGAAGTCATCAGTATGATGTTAATAATGTCAAGAATACTCAAACTTGCCTTCCTTGTTTGCCTTACAAGAAGTCCATAACATTTTTGCTTATAATAAAATTTGTTCATTACACTAGATTATCACAATGCAAAAGATATCTTCATATGATGTCTCTTATACTACCATTTACTTTTAAAGTTACAAAGAGTGCAGGAGCTCAGATCTTCACTCCTAGAATTGACTGAACGTAATTCATACGAAGAGTATCCTAATAAATTACAGTAAAACTAAAATTCTTTTTCTTGGATATTATATAAATATTTAAAACTCTACAGAGATGTAAGAGACATAAGACACAGGGGGAGAAAATCTTTCATAATATGACAAGAAACTTACCCTTAATTTAAATTCTAACTCTGTTCTGTAGCCAGTCTTTTCACACTCTATGGTGACTTTTCCTCCTAGCTCCATGGTTAGAGTTCCCATTAGAATTCCTTTGCAGTGCGCATATGGCATGTTCATGACGTAATCCTCTCCACGAGGTAAAAGAGTCAAGAGCACATTGCCATCCAATATGGCAGATGTGGAATTACCTATAACAATATTATTATACAGTTAGTGTAAACACACATAAAGTTTTATAGACAGTTATAAGGCTTGTATCTATTTGAGGTAACATTAACCCATTGGCACTGAGTACATGCATTGTCCACTGTAGTTTTGCTTTGTCACTGTCAAACAGTAGGCCTACCCTGTTTCTTGAATCTTCAAGAAAAAGACTTTCATTTGCAATAATATTAACCCAATGCAGCCAGGTGGTTTCCCGTTATGAAAGCCCTCTCTCCCGGGTTGTATTCATAGCGGTCCAGGTCTCATTATCATTATTACATTATTATTATTATTATTTTCACCATCATCATTATCATTTTAAGTATTATCAATAACAAATAATTGTAGGAAAAAAAAATACTTTCTAAAAACTCAAGGAATGAAGTAATCTGGTGAGGCCTAGTAACTTCTTGATGACTAAGCACTTCTTGTGCCATTTATGTACAAGTAAAGTTGTTCAGCTAAATTCACAATGGACAAGGCATGTATACATGCTCTCCTAACATCAATGGTTGATATTCTTTTCACTATTTACATTACAGTCCTTCTTGATCTAAAAAAAAAAAAATACAACAACCAATATTCAATTAGTTGTGCAATTTACCTTAAATGAAAGCAAATATATACTTGAAGACAACACAAATATGTATGGTATCAAAACATCAATCTAATCAAGTTATGAGAACACTGTAGTCCAATACAATATCTATAAAACAGTGATAATAATCATGAAGCCTACCATAGAATTTTGATTTGGCTAAAACAGTTGCAGTGACAGAGAATCCCTCTTGTCTATTAGTTACATAGACAGCTGATACTGGAGGATGGTGGGACACCTGTAAGACAATAATACCAAATTGATACAATATACTGACTTTTACATAAGTCATATAAATAATAAACATTGATATGAATGTAAACCTAATACAGAATCCAAGAATATGAATAGTACAAGAATAGGAGAATATCTGAAATACAGAAAAATACAAAGAAAGTTCTCCAACCTGCTCAGCAACATAGAAAGTTCGTGAACCATTAGGGTGTCTCCAATAACATCGGAAAGTTTCTCCAAGAATAGGGTTGTAAGGCTTCTTGAGCCCCTTCGGTTTCTTGTAAAATCCTGAGAGGTACCATCTGACAACCTCTTTCATTCGTGTAAAAGGGTCATCCTCTTGTACTGCTCTGTTCACATATATTGCAATTGTTAAAACATGTACCACTGATTTTTAACAGATAATTCATGACTTTCAATAGCACATCTGAATAAAGAAAGTTGATTTGTTGAAGACATGGAATTTAAGATCAATCTAAGTGAATCTCGGCTCTTTCAAACTCAACCTGGAACACACATCCCACTAATTGACCTATACTAACTTGGGAATGAGATCTGCATGATAGTAATAGTCTGAGAGTTTGTCTAAGAAGGATCTCGGCTCCAGGATGAAAGTTGGCAGCACCACTTTGGAGAGATCCATCCCAGGCCGAACTTGCTTCAGCAAGAACCAAATGAGGGATTTGTTTTCTTCCTCCAACTCCTCTACTTGTTCTCCAGCCTGAAATTAATATTCCAGAGTCAGTATATCCATCACATATTGTGAAATACTTGTGAACAACTGAGTCAACTTAATACGTATAGTGTAATACAAATATACTTTCTCTCACTATCAATTCACTTCATCTACATAAAATAGACTTAAAAGAATGTAATATAAATTTCAAAGTGCATCTTCTCACTTAGCTCATTACAATTTTTTGTGTACCAGTTTTGCAGTAAAATGGGAAAAAAGAAGAAAAAAAAAAACATGACTGAAGAGTTATGTTGTATGTATTCTATTATAAATCAGGTACATGAAACTAATGAGCAGGAAGCTGGTATCATTGGCTATAGTATATGACCAGAATATTATAGAAAATTATAACAAATATATATATATATATATATATATATATATATATATATATATATATATATATATATATATATATATATATATATATATATATATATATATATATGCACAGATTAAGGAGACATATTTTGTCTAAAGCAAATCTGCTTTAGCCAGAATTCTTATTTCCCTGCTCACAGGTATAAAAGTGCCTGTTGTACTTACAATCCCACTGTCTTAAGCTTAGTTATTTGAGTTATTACATGCAGGTATCATTAACCAATTTATGGATTTACTTTTCATCATGCCTAGTTATAGAAAATTATGAAACAAAAATAAAATAAACACACCATATAAAAAATAAAAAGGAAATAAACATATTTTCAGTAATCATTAAAATTTCCATGGCCAAGAAACGTCACTCTGATCAACAGTATCAGTGACTACAATTATTCAACTTCGGGCAGTTAAACAGCCTAGCATTCAATTCAATATACTCAATAATAAAAAATCATTAGAAACAGATAAATATAGGTAAATACAACAATTAAATAGCTACATAAAACAAAAAAACAAAAACACAAAAAAACATCAAAACCTCAAATGTCACTACAGTTTCCTGCCTGAATGGTCATTTTAAAGAAAAACATTTATGACCCTATAGGAATATATATATTTCACACTGTTTAACTGATTAAGCATCCCAACTTTAAGAAAATGAGAGTACCTTCTTGATCTAAAATGTCCATTCTTTGGGTTAGCAATATTATTTCAATATCAAATAGGGTTATTTAACTTGCCATCACATTCTACTTTCCTTATGTAAGTATAAGGCAAAGAAGGCAGTGTAACAAGCTACCTACACAATGAGAGGATTCCTTTCTATTTCTAACAGACAGAGAGGCTATACAGATGAAAATGTTAAGTATAGGAGAATCCCAGGAAAATGACTTGAACACCTGAAAAGAATGGAGACAAGAAACAAACAAAGCTAAGAATTTGGGAGTCCTTAGAGAGAGGAAGAAGGGACAGATGACAGATTTTACAATCCAATTTCATGCCGCTTCTAGAATGGACGGACGAATGAGGCAAATTTGAATAATGAAAAGAAAGAACATGAACATCAACCCTAGTGTTTACTTCTTTTTGTAAATAGGATTCTTTGATGTCAAAAGACCTAAACAGAATGAAACCATTTATTTCTAAAATAAAAGTTCCATACACTGAATAATAATAAAAAACTTTTTTTCATTCTTAATATTGCGGTGCAAGATCTATGGTCATATTCTACCTATATGCAACTAAAATAGAACTAAAGTGAAAGAATGTGTCTCCTCCTGTCATTATGTTAGGTATGGCAGAGACAGATCAGCATATTTCCATATATGGCCCATGTCTCCTTCATGAGCTTATTACAACTTTAAATTATAGGGGGGGGGATGGCTAAAGCAAATTTGCTGAATCATAGACTTGTCTTCAACAGTACATGGTCCTTGGTTTTTGCCTGATACCAGCATGCAACTCGACAATATAAAAATCAGAGATATTTGAAAATAAATACAGACTCAAAGTCTATTCAGAAAAAATATTGCACGAGCACGAAAAAAAAATCTCACTTGTACATTATAAATAGTAGAAGTATAGTTTACACGACGATTACCTAAAAACTACTCTGAAAGTCAAGATTCAGGTGAAAAAATATTATCTGTAAAGTGTTGAAAAATAAAACACTTTTTTCTCAACCTTATGCACATCATGTAGACATGACAAAGTATTTCAAACTTGGGAAAATACCTTGTACTTAATGATACTCTTGAAAAGCTGATTTGCCCCTAAAGAAATGCACTACAGCAAGCTTTACCATGGCCATAGCAATCTTGCTTTCACCCACCTACAAAAAAATTGTGGGCTCTTCATGTTATATGAGAACTGATTTGAACAGAAAGCTTGCAATTAAGTCAATATATATCTGCACCTCGTTCATATGTAAAAAAAAAAAAGATAGATAAATAAAAACAGGAAGAAAAATTAATATAGGCAGACATGTACAAATACATACATGTATATAAAATGCATACATGCTACACCACCACCAAAAAAACACCCAAGTAAACACACACATGGTCACACATACATACACACACATATGGTCACTCACACACACACACACACACACACACACACACACACACACACACACACACACACACACACACACACACACACACACACACACACACACATATATACAACAAATGTGCATAAAAGAGGTCCTGTTGAAAAGGGAGGCACATCTTGCTCACCTCTCCCATTTCCCCTTCAAAATTAGGCACGTAAGCAGATTCAGTTGGAGTCATCTCATCCTCCCTGTCATACTCCTCGTCTTCCCTCTGCTCCTCGTCGCCCTTGTGGGAGCCGTCCTCGGACTCTGACTCTGTTCCTGACATGGCATCGGCTCCAGAAAAATGCCCTGACTCACGGTGATGTTCATTCTCATCTGTGTGGCTTGCATCATCCAGGTCTGTGGGGTTTAGGAGAGGGAAGGGTAAGGTCTGCAGGTTTAGGGAAGGGTTTTAGGATGGAACAGGTGGCATCAGGACAAAAATGTGGGATCAAGTACAAGCATTACCCAGCATTTTACTCTTAGCTGCCAAAGGGTCTTATAAGAGCTGATATTGGCTTCTAAGTCAATAAATGTCAAGGCACCTAAATATAGAATGACTGATAATAAAAAAAGCATGGATCAAGAGAAATTTCATATAAATCTCTTTCAAGACAATCTACAAATCTATCATATGATTTATGTTTCCCATGTAGCAGTGACTAGGGTGAGCAGTAGGTGATATCCCTTTATGTATTTGGTACTTTTATCAGAACTTTAAAAGCAAATAAATGTATATATATAAACTGGATAAATGACAAATGTCAGAAGCTTTATGTAAAATGATCTGAAGTTTGACATTCATACTTTCCTTTAGTAATGAAATTGGAGACAATCTCAGTCACTCATGAGCATGCAACTATTAAGCTTTTAAATGCCAAGATAACATTTTCAGATTCAAAGCGTAAATATTTAGTAGTAACAGCAAAAAAGAAAAAATCATTATTACTTAAAAAAAATTAAAATGAAGTTAAAATGTTACCATCTTTTTCAGGCTTCAAGTTCTTTTCTGTAACTTTGGGAATTGCTTTGAAAAAGTAGTTCTTCTTCTGGTTCTCTGATAACTCAGGTGTGTTGGTTTGAGACTGATCAGCAAAGTAAGCATCCTCTGGGGTAAGAGACACCCTTTTATTGGATGGATGACCCTTTAGCTCCTGGTCTGCCATATGAATAGCAGCTGCAAGTTTACGATAATAAGGAGTTGGTGAAGGATCACGTTGCGCTGCTCCACGCATTGCTGCCTTATGTGTAGGTGTGACTTCAACACTAGATGTACCAGGGAGTTGAATGATACAGTCTCTCCATGTTGACTGAGGGGTCATGACAGGGCTGTTGTCTGCACTCTGTCCAGCACTTGAGTCATCTGAGATGTCTTCAGTTGGAAAGGTCATCCAGACATTTCGAAAGACATTTGACACAACACACATTTCCATGTTCATTGTATGGGTTTGACAGTTAAGGAATGAAGTCAAAGAACAAAGATGATTGAGAAATATAAGGTGAAATGCACAATTGTATAAAATGAAACATGCAAGCACATACATTGGCATAATAACGGACATGCCAACATTCCAATATTATGAAACATCAAATGCACAATTCAGCAAAAAAGGACAGCAAAGTGGAAAATAAGATTATAACAAGATCAGGATACAAAAAGCAATAAGTACATATAGCAAGAGAACAGGAGAGGTATCATTCAGTGAGGTGGGAGGGAAGGAATGAAGAGAGTAAGAGAGAGGAGAGAGAGAGAAAAAAAAAAGAAAGACAGAAAGAGAAAAAACATAGGTAAGTGAACAGTCATAGCAGAGTTGATGCAGGCTCTGTTAAGTCACAACACTGAATCTCTTTATATTACTCCTAAAATGATAAACTATACAAATGTATTGTGAAAAGCTGTAATAAAATCACAACTACTAGTACAAGAAAATACTGAAGTGTACACTATCCAACACATTTAAAGTTTACACATCAACTTTTTTTTTTATACAATATAATCCTAAAGCTACTTTTCTCTAATACTTACCCTGGTCCTTAAAATGTTTCTCATAATCCGACTCATTCCATTTGTCTGCAGCTAAAGTCGAGGAAGTTATAGAATTGTTAGCATCCGCTTTACTGGATGAGGTCATAGAGCGGATGAGAATTGATGAGCAGCGGACAGCAAGTTCCAAGGCATCCATCCAGCATTTCCCGGCTGCCTGAGAGGGAGCTCGGAAGATCAGGTGGGACGAGGGGAATGGCTGAACTACCGCACCTGTAATAATGCATGAAGCCAGATTAATACAAACCACCGCTCAATAATTTTCACAGCACTTTTTGGCACTTTCAGGAGCCTTTCACACACACACACACACACACACACACACACACACACACACACACACACACACACACATATATATATATATATATATATATATATATATATATAT